GGGAACAGTGACAGCAGTCTTGTTCAGTCCTGCATTAGGCTTATTATAATTATTATTATTGTAAATGTATTTTAATTGTCATTATAGATTAGCTACTCGATGTACTCTCTCGACATGCGAGTCATATGCGACCATCATGACGTGCGATTCATATGCCACGCATATGAGGACGCATCTGTGTGGTCCAGTGATAGCACGAGGTGCGAATTATTTCGAACGCATGCTAGCACTGTGTCTGGCACAGTGCGCGCACTTTGCTATCTGGGATAATGTAAAATGAGAAAAGTATTGAACAGTTTTTTATAGATTTAATAAAAATTTTAAAAAATGTTATTATCAATGTTTTATAATTTATATAATAAAAAGTATACTTATATGCAACAATGAGATTTCAGACGCGTTTAATTTTAAAAATTTGGATTGCAAAAAATTTTACGACTTAGTTTTGAAAAATTAACCGCTTTTGTCTGAAGTGGGTAAGTCTTTAAAATATAATGTAAAATAAGAAAAGTATTAAACAGGTTTTTTTCTAGATCTAATGAAAATTTTAGAAAATGTTATTTATCAATGTTTATTAATTTATATAATAAAAAGTATACTTATATGTAACAATGAGTATTGTCTTTTTCCCAATAATTGATTTAAAAAATCAATTATGTTTATTCGAAACAAAATATATGGTTATTGACTTCCACCATAACTGCAATAGTGTCCGGGTTTGTCCTCACTGTTAACTTAAAAGTATCAAATTGCAACGAAATGATTCCAAAAATGCTAATCAAATTAAAAGTTAATCCAAATTTTTGGCATCAATTTGATCCACTTTATTAGTATCAATTTGATACTTTCAAGAAAACTGTGCTCTTTTTTAAATATGTATAGTCATACTTTTAAAAAAATAATTATGGTCACCCTAAATGATTTAATATTTATGAAACTCAACTCTAAATGAAAAATAACAATCAAATTTTATATATCCACAGATCAAATAAACTTTTCTCTACAATTTTATTACACTTCTTTCTACAAATTTATATTTTACTCTTACTTTTTGTTTATTTTATCATGCAACTAAAAAAACGTGTCTATACTGCACGCACGCCCTCTAGCGTCTCTCCAGACCAAAAGAGTTTAAAAATCTTATTCCGTTCGTGAGATATCATTATAAACGTCCGAGCATGTTTTTTGACAAATGCATTGAATTAGTCGATTTTGAACGATTTTAGGCTGAAAATACTCGGCCGTTTATAATGATATTTCGCTAACCGATTAAGATTTTTGAACTCTCTTGGTCTTAAATTAAATATGAGACTTAAATGATCACTCTTATGTAAGTTTTAAAATTTTTCTATAATTTTTAAAAAATGTGCAGGGGTTGAAAAAATTTCCAAAAAAATTTTATTTTTTAAATTTTTTTGTCAAATTTGTCGATTGCTGGAATCTTTGTATAAATTATTAAAATTTTCAGTTATGTATCATTAATCGTAGAATTTAATAATCTTTCAAATGGTATATTTGTTAATTTTCTGACATTTGTATTTACAAAAAAATCGTGATTTATAGATTGGTATGTTTTTGGGCCGTGCGCTTGCAGCCGTACCGATAATTCCCGACGGTAGTGTATAAAGATGCACGGAGAAAAATGGATAGTCAAATTTATAATCTAGATAATCATGGGTGATAATCTTGGATACTCAACTATAGGACAACCATCTAGATATTCAAATTTAGTATCTTGGGATAATCAAACTTACATACTAACTGCCATTATCCAAGATGTTCACATTTGACTATCCTAGATAATAAACGCAAGTTGCTGTGTTTATACCTACACATCTAAATTGATCAATAAGAAATATTTAATGATAAAAGTTAATTTTTTTAGAAATTAGTGAACATTTTTCCTAGATAAACAATTGTTTATGGAAAATCTGAAAATTTTAAAGAACAAAATACATTAATTTAACGATACCCTTGAAATTTTTAAATTCTTTTGACGGGTTTAAAGGTTATGTTGCTAATTGTAAGTTTTATATATTTTTTAACAATATTTTTTAAGCAATATTATATCTGAAATTCAGTATAAAAAACTTGATAATGCTTTTAAATTTCGAATAATATAAAACTCTTTAACGGTGTTCGATGGTCTCTTAAATTTCTCGATAATGTGCGACCAACAGTTATCACCCAACAAATACGGCACTGACCGGTTTAAATGACGTGTAATTGGTAAACATTCATTTTCTAACAAATTTCCATCTGTTCACAGGCACTTTTTACAAAATCTGGCAACGTGCATTTGTCACAAATGTTTTTAATTGTCTTAATTGAAAAGATTTTGTCCATCCATGTAGAAACGCGGTTGCAGTATTGGAATTACCATAGCAATGTAATACGAATAATTTTGACAGCTGAACCTTTACGCTCCCTGCATGCTTCTGCCCTCTACTGTCAAAATGGCTGTAACATACGTCTTGTGGCTTGCCATTACATTACTTTTTTATTTACAATCATCCTGCAACCGCGTTTCTGCATGGATTAACAAAATCTTTTGAATTCAGACAATTAAAAACATTTGTGACAAATGTACGTTGTCAGATTCTGTAAAAAGTGCCTGTGAACAGAGAAAAATTTGTTAGAAAATGAATGTTTACGAATTTCACGTCATTTGAAACAGGCAGTGCCGTTTTTCTTGCGTGTGATCGGTAATCAAACTTCTGCGCAAGCGCTCGGTAAGTTGACTATCCAGGATAAGGCCAACGCAGAATAGATCTGTAACCGGAACCGCAATCGTAACCGTAAGCGTAAGAATTAGTTAGAGAAGGATAAACAATATACCTATCCTTCTCTAACTCATTCTTACGGTTACGCTTACGATTGCGGTTCCGGTTACAGATCTATTCTGCGTTGGCCTATAATAAATTTGATTATCTAGATATACTAAACGGGAATATATAATATTTCAGGAAGATAATATTTCTGACTATATAAATAATAAATTTGATTATATATTTTCTAACTATCTACTTTTAACTATCCATTTTTCTCCGTGTGAGTTTTTTTTCTTTAGTGAGAGGAAATAATTTAGTAATTTCAAATTTTTATTTTCTCTCCCTCTCTTTCAAAAAAAAGAATAATTAAAATAACAGATATTCCTTTCTTAAAAAAGACATGGAGTGGAAAGGTCGAATGTATCGAAAAGTATCGAAGTAAAGAATGGGCAATGAGAATGTAAAATCTTAATAGAAGGGTGTTTTTAAAATTGTTTGTACATGTGAAGGTGTCGCTGCAGTCGTATGTTATTTAAAAAGAGCGCGAATATATAAATTTTATTTTTGTTAAGAGAAAGTACTCATAATAAATCTTATTTTGCATTGTCAAAAAAAACGTCAACATTTCAAATATAAATAAGCAAATTATTAACTGAAAAAATTTGAATATTATTATTAATGAAATAATGGACTTGGACAATGGACATATAAAAACTAGCACCGTAGACGGCCGCTTGCGGCCGTCGGAGGAGCTAGTTTTATTAAAAAAAAATGTGTATTTGATTGGTGTATTTGATTTAATTGGAATTTTACAGGATCCACGATTTAACAGCGCCATCGATATGCGAACGGGTTACAAAACTCATTTGATTCTTTCAATGCCAATTTGTAATTACGAGGGTGATGTTATAGGCGTGGCTCAAATCATCAACAAAACTAATGGCAGCAATGAATTCACCGAAAGGGATGTTGAGGTCTTTCAAAGGTAAAATTACAATATTTTGAATTTCAATATTTTGGATTTTAATCAGGGTGTCTAGTCATGAAAGTATTCTGAAATTACAAAAAGTGTATCATTTCATTTCCTGGAATTTTAACGTTTGTATTTGAATTTTTTAAATTTTGCTTTTCTATTTTCAAATTAATTTCAAAATTTCGTTCAAATATTTCTTCAGTCGAATAAAGTAATTATTTTTAGTTGATTGACAATTATTTTTCATGTTATTGTCACTTCTAATTGGATTTAGATTTTCAAGCTTCGCACACGTTAAATAGTAAAAAAAGTTATCGAAAACTTAATTTTTAAAATATGAATAGAACCATCATTTTTCCATTATTTATACAATATAAGTAATTGTTGCCATAAATATTTAATTTCGTTTTTTCCTGACATTTACCTGATTTCCAGGCAAAATTTTGACTTTGTCCCTAAAGAATAGTCTGATTCACTCTAAAAATTATTAGATACTACTCAAAAAAATTAAAATATCTATTACGCATTTGTTTACGAATTTCTTTAGTTGTAAAGTTATTCAAAAACATTAATAACTATATTACTTTTCCATAAGAATTAAGGTTTTCAAAAATTTCCAATTCAAACCTTTTTCAAATTCAACAACTTATAATAATTAAAATAAAATCATTATTTTATATGAAAAGAATATTGTTTATGTAACTTCTTCAAAATTATTTTCATCATTTCAATTCAATTATTATTTTCTAAAATTTTTACCTAAAATTCTTCTTTAAGTCGATTATTTTTAACAATTTTTCAAAAAGTTCTTTAAGAATTTTCAAATCTATTGGTTAACCATTCAATTTTAGGAAATTTTGATTATTCGGAAATTATTCAATTAAATAAGGGAAGTGTTCCGGTTGTGGGCACCCTTTTGTTTTTGCCTCATAACATTTGTCCATGTGCATATTATACAAATATATGTGTACGAATTTAAAGCTAGAGGTCTAAGGTGACTGTCAGTGAAGGAATTAAATTGATTCCTTTAAATAAAAAAGTTTTATTAGAAATTTAGTGAAATGGGAATTTTTTGACAAAAAAAATTTTGTACCCGGTTGTGGGCACCCTTGAAAAATCCGCTAAAAATGGAAAAATATTAAAGGAAACCAACACAAATAAAGAAGAAATGAAAGTTTCTTTATTTTAAGAGAATTTGCTGGGATAAAGAACAAAAATGATGACACGTTTTCACACTATATGCTCATCGCTAACAAAAGCATAATGCTTGCATGTGAAGTAGCTAGTACGCATAACATAACGCACTTCGAATGCACTGAACGACTATATTCATCGCATTTAATGGAGTTTGCGGCTGTCACTTTCCTTGGCAGAAAGTTTAGATAGATGAGACAGTAGTCCTCATCATTGTCAGATGGTAGAGCCTCCTTAACATAAAGGTGCCCACAACCGGGAATGACAGTCATTTTTTAAAAAGACCAACACATTTTGTGATGCAGGATTTTGGTTAAACACGAAGGTAAATCACAAAATATAATGACAACACTGCAAAAAAAAAATTAAACCCTTTTTTTCTGAACGAATCTACACCCATATGTTGCTCATCGAAAACAATACAAAATTACTTTTTTATTTATTTAATGCAAATTTTCTTTATTATGCTCACAGCTATTACACAAATGCATATATTTGTTTCGTTATCAATACGAAAAGTCCGTATTGTCAACGAACACGACTTGCAATACTTAGATCAGTAAAGTCTGCTTGCCGTCGAAGTTTACGTAGGGGTGCCCACAACCGGCGCACTTCCCTGTTTAAAAAAATTATTAAAATGGATAGGATTTGATAGAATTTTCTTCCTTCACTCCTTGAAATTCGAATCCAATTTAATCAAATATTGAAAATCCAATCCACTTCTATCCAAAGTAGAAAATTAAATCCATTCCTATCATAAGTTTTGATGTATTATCTATCAAAGTTAATAATATTCTAAAATTCAATATTTTACTATCAAGAGTTTGGATACGAATTCTATCAAATTCTATAAGTCGAAAAATCTTATAATTTTCTTTCCATGAGCTTTGATTGAATACCTATCAAATTCTTTCCAAATGAAAATCTAATATTTCTCTATCCAAGATTTGAATACAAATTCTATAAAATTCTATGAGTTGAAAATTCTTATAGTTTGCTATCCATGAGTTTTGATTGAATATCTATCAAATTCTTTCCACATGAAAATCTAATATTTCTCTATCCAAGATTTGGATACAAATTCTATCAAAATCTATGAGTCGGAAATTCTTATAGTTTGCTATCCATGAGTTTTGATTGAATATCTATCAAATTCTTTCCACATGAATATCCATTATTTCTCTATCAAAAGGTTTGGATATACAAATTCTATCAAATTTTATGATCATTCCCCAAATGTCATTTTTCCGAAAAGTCATTTCACCGAACTGCACTTTTGCGAATAGTCATTTTTGCGAAAAGTCATTTTTACGAATTGTCATTTTTGCGAATTGTCATTTTTGAGAATTGTCACTTTTGCGAATCGCGAAAAGTCATTTTTACGAATTGTCATTTTTGCGAATTGTCATTTTTGAGAATTGTCACTTTTGCGAATCGCCAATATTACGAATTGTCATTTTCCGAATAGTCATTTTTGCGAAAAGTCATTTTTATGAATTGTCATTTTTGCGAAAAGCTATTTTTGCGAATTGTCATTTTTGCTAATCGCCATTTTTACGAATTGTCAATTTTCCGAAAAGTCATTTTTGCGAATTGTCATTTTTGCGAAAATTCCTATAGTAAACTTGTATGCATATATAGATTCACTATAGGAATTTTCGCAAAAATGACTTTTCAGAAATTTGACAATTCGCAAAAATGACATTTCTCGAAAATGTCGTTTCGTAAAAATGAAAATTGGCAAAAATGACTTTTCGGAAAATTGACAAATCGTAAAAATGGCGATTCGCAAAAATGATTTTTCGGAAAATTGACAATTCGCAAAAATAGTTTTTCGAAAAAATGACAATTCGCAAAAGTGACATTTCGCAAAAATAAGTATTCGCAAAAGTGCAGTTCGATAAAATGACATTTCGGAAAAATGACATTTGGGGAATAATCATGCGCCCCTTTATGGTTTTGTTGTGAACTACAGATTTTCATAAAAGTTTTAACATTTTAGAAAATCAACGAAATTTTTTTAACACAGTTGAGCTGTTTTTTTTATTTTTTTATTTCGTTTAATGTTATTTTTTGCAAATATTTGCAAAAAATTACAAAGCAGTCAAATGACATTTGAGCAAAAATTTATTAAATATTTAATTAATATTTTTAACATAATAGCATATATTGCAAATCTCTATAAATATTTTAATTTCTGCTTGTATTTTTATAGGTACTTACAAAAATTATAATATTTTACATAAACTTACGTTTTTCAAAGTTGCAGTTTATATAGACAGGTCGAAAAATATTTCTCACGTCGATTCGATAGCCGCGGTCGTTAAGCATTTAGATAGATAGGTCATAGGTGCGGGGTTCGATTCCCATAGGGTACAAGTTTTAATTTAATTCTTCCAGTTTAATTAAAATGTTTGTATGTTTGGACTTTGGAGTGTGCTAAGAACATAATGTTATTAATGGTCATAAGAATCTTTTATTATTTTTTCCACAAATATTTTTTTTCAAAGCGTATGTTTTCAATTGTAACCACCTTGGATACAATAGGAAAGAACTTTCTGTCATTTTTCGATATAGGATTTGATAGAATTTAAATCAAAAAATCTTATTGGATTGGAAACACTTTTTAATAATCAATTTTGATAGAATTTGATAGGACTTTCTTTGAAATCAGTGGGACAACATGGGACAATTTTCGGATAAACAAAGTATTGATTTGGATAGACTTTCTATTAAAAGTATTTGATAGAAACTGATTGTAATTGTTGAAAATTTTGGATTCAGAAACACGATTGAAATGGAAAGAAATTTTTTTCTTTCCATTTCTATCAAATTTTTTAAATAGGGTTCCCCTATATATTAGAAAATAAAATCTTCAAATAATTTCAAAAAAAAATTGAATGAAAGTTTTGCAAAAAAATTAATTCTACAGAATTGTTGGTTAAAAGTATGAAAAACTCCAATTTTAAAATATTTTAAGTTAAAACTTATTAAAAATTCAATTATTTCTATAAATTCATGTTATAATGCTTTTAATATTCAATTATTATCAAAAATTTTATCTAAAATTCATTTTTAAATCAATTTTTCTTAAAAAATTCTACTAGAATTCAATTATTTAAATACAAAAATAAATAATTTATTGAATAATTGAATGTTTCTTAAAAATTTTAAATTGAATTCTCATAAAGAATGTTATCAACAAATTTTTAAATAATTAAATTCTTTCAACGAACTGTAATAAAATTTTTAGGAATAATTACATTTTTCGAGGAATTCGATTAAAATTATATTATAAAAATAATTGAATTCTTAAAAAGAAATTTATTATTTATTTGAGGTTATGTTTTAAATTTTTTGAGTAAAAATACAGAAAGAGAATCAATTATTAATTAAAAATTGTTGGTTTTCAAGTTTTCATTATATTCAAAATATTCAATTAATATTGGTTTAAAATTCAAATAATTAAAAATGAACTTTTAATCAAGATAAATCTAACTCGAACCCAACCTATAATTCGTTTGCTTCTTAGGTACCTTTCTTCGGGTCGCGTCACAAATAATAATTGGAATTTTTACGAGAATTTCTTTGAATTTTTTAACATAATTGAATTTCTGTGAAGAATGTTATTACTTTTGAAAATAATTTTAATTCAAAATTCTAGGAAAAAGTTAGTTTTTTGAAAAATTTTTACTCAAATTGTCTTGAAATTGTCCGATTTTTTGAATATGTATTTAATTGAAAAATTTTCGAGTAATTGAAATTTAGTAAAATTGAATTGTAAATAAATGGATTTCAGAATTATTTTATGAAATCATTTTTTTTTTGTTTAAATAATTGAATTTTCAAAGAACTTTCTCAAAAATTATTATTAAAAATAATCGATAACATTTTTTTTAAATTTATCTAACATATATGATGCTTTTAAAATTTAATTATTTTAAATTTTTTAATGTTTTCTACACTAATAAGAAAGAAACTGAACGTTGCCATTTTAAAATCATATTAATTTAGAATGTTTATGGTTAAAAAAAATTCAAGAAGATTCTCAAGAAAAAAAATATAGCTTTTGGTGACAAAAAACTAAAAAAAAGTTTCCAAATAGTAACAAACCGTAAAAAAGTAGTAAATAGTAGCTTTTAGTAGATGAGTGCGAAACCTGAAAGCTGCTATGAAGAATATTTGACGACAGAAATTAAAAATAAAATCACTCATATCCCTAAAATTTTAAACATTCAAATGAACAATTTTTTTACACTTCTTTCAATTTAAATTTTATTACAAAATCTTTTTTGTATAATCAATAAAATTAATTATTTACTGAATAAATTTTTAATTTAGTTTTTCACGTTAGCATATAGTAATTTTTGAAAATATTTAAACGCATGGAAAATTTTATTTCTTGAAAATTCAAAACGTTAGGAAAACAATAATTCAATGCCATTTCTCGGAAAACTTTTGTAATTTCAAACTTGATTTTCAGTGGACACCCTTTAAATTGAAAATATATCTTCTTTTGGAGAAATATCTGCTAAGTTAAAATTTGGGGACTTTTCTTGAAGACGCTTTTAAGTAAAATTACGCATTCAAATTATAAACTCTCCAAGTATTTATCTGGGTTAATGATAAAATCGATTACATTCCTAGGTTGTTGAAAATTTAACTTTATTTCGTTAGATACCTAACCTTCTGTGGAATTGGTATTCAGAATGCGCAACTCTTTGAATTATCTGTCCAAGAGTATCGACGAAATCAAATACTACTTAATTTGGCGCGAAGTATTTTTGCCGAGCAAAATAATTTGGAGTGCCTCGTGTCAAAAATTATGACCGAGGCAAAAGAATTACTAAAATGTGAGAGATGCGCTGTTTTTCTTTTGGATGTTGACTGCGGAGAAGCGGTAAGAATAAGAAAAAAAACACCTCACGATCATCGATCGTGGACAGAAATTTCTTGATGATAAATAAATTAATTAAAATTGCAATAAAATTCAATAATCTTCCAATTTTTTTAAATTAGGAACAAAAAGTTTTATAAAATAAATAATTTCTCGACAAATTTTTTAGGGTCACCTGGAAAAAATTGTGGAACGACCAGGAAGAATGGTGCAAGAAGCAAGAAAACCACTTTCGAGAAGAGAGGTGAAAAGAAATTTCAATTTTAAATCATAAATTTACTTTCAACTATTTAAGTTTTAAATTAAAAATAAAAATTTTTTCTCGTCAAAAATAGTATTTCAAAAAATTATTTTCCTTCCGGAAATGACAATAAAATAGGGAAAAATTCACATTTCAGAGTAACAATATTCAAATGGAGGACATTTATCACCAACACGTAAGCTGAATAAATAGAAAATTGAAAAAATAATCTACAAAAATGATAAAAAAATCGTAACGTATTTCAGGGAACAAGCGAAATCAACAAATTTACAATGGTTTTTGAAATGGAAAATGGAAAAGAAGAGGCGCGAGTTTACAGGCCAAGTGCTGAGGATCTTTTAAAGCCATTGGGACGAATTGCAAAATATGTCGCATTTTCGGGCGAAATTCTAAATATCGGTGATGTTGCGTCATGGTTGAAAGTTCCAGTTGTGGAAACGGGAAGTGAACCTGCCAGAAGCATTCTCTGCATGCCAATTGCCAATGGACAAAAGGATGTAATAGGAGTAGCTCAATTAATAAATAAGGTACGAAACATCAATTTTTTCATGTCAAAAGAAAAAGATTAAACAACAATTTCACTTTTCCCCTGACATTAAAGAATATTCTGATTCGCTCTAAATGATTAGATACTCAAAAAAATGTTCCATTACTTTTATTTGCAAATTCCTTTAATTGTAAAATTATTCGAAAACATCAATAACTTCATTTTTAAATAAATATTTAATCATTATTATTTTTCCATAGGAATTAAAATTTTCAAAATTTTCAAATTCAACAACTTATAAGTTTTATAATAATAAATTAAAAATGACCAAGTGATAAAATAATTATTTTATATTAATATAAGAATATTGTGACTTTGACTTCTTCAAAATTATTTTTATCATTTTAATTCACTTATATTATTTTCTAGAAATTCTAACTAAAATTCTTCTTTAAATCAATTTATTATTTTTAATAATTTTCGAAAAAGTTCTTTGAGCATTTTCAAATCCATTTGTTTACAATTCAATTTTAGGAAATTTCGTTTATTCGCAAATTCTTCAATTAAATATATACCTATTAGAAAATAAAAGCTTCAAATAATTTAAGAACAAATTCAATTAAACTTTTTCAAAAAAATTAATAGTACAGAATTGTCAGTTAAAAGTATGAAAAATTCAAGTTTTCAACTAATTCAAATTAAAAAATTTTCAGAATTCAATTATTTCTAAAAATTCGTGCTTAATGCTTTCAATACTCAATTATTATCTAAAATCCATTTTTGAATCATTTTTTGTTAAAAAATTCAACGAGAATTCAATTATTTAACTAAAAAAATAAATAAAATATTGAATAATTGAATATTTCTCAAAATTGAATTCTCGTAAAGAATTTTATGAACAGATTTATAAATAATTGAATTCTTTCGACGAGTTTTAATAAAATTTTTATTAATAATTACATTTTTCAAGGAAATCGATAAAAATTGTATTAAAAATAATTGAAATTCTGCGATGAGTTTTATTAATTATTTTAAATTATTGAATCTGTTTAAAAAGTTTTATTATTTATGAATATAATTAAGGACAGTATTTTATGACGCTGAAAATTACTGGATTATGCCCTAAAAAACTGATTATTATGCGAAATTATGCGTTGAAAAATTAAAAAGTGCAAATTGATGCTTTTGAAAGAAAAACGTTATTAAGGACCCAAATAAAGCTTTTAACATTATTATGTTAATTAAAAGTTGCATTTTAAACTAATATATAGCTAGAATAATTTAATAAGTTTCTATTTAATTATAGTATAAATTACATTATTCATAATATATACACTGAAAATAATTAAGGGGGCAACCCTAGTTGTAGGGTACAAAAATTTATCATTTGCATGAATTTTTTTTAAGAAAAACCACCAACATTTTTAAATAAAGCAACTTATTCTCTATAAATATAGAGTAAAGAGCATCATAAGAAATATTTTTTGCGATGACCACGGTAACATGGAGCTGGTTTCTCAGAAATACAAAATTCAAACGAATTTAGTTAAAGTAAAAGATAAAAAAATGCTGTGGGTTCTCAGCTGTAAAAAGATATTGTTTGGGGTCATCCATAAAGCATACTTAATTTCCGAAATTTTATCCCCAACCATCTTGATGCTTTTTCCATTAATGATTAATATGAATCATGATATTTTATGGACCCACCTACTCCTTCAAATATCTAATGCTTTATGGACGACCCCTTTCTTAAAAAAGGAAATCATTCTATTGATGTGAGGAGTAGATTTTTATGTATTAAAAAAGCCCACTAAACTCAAGAAAAATCGGAGATTCAGTGCAGTAGGTTTGAGAAATAGTGCGATCACCGATTTGCAAAATGCTGTTTTAAGAAAAACGAGTTTAAAGTTTTATCATACTCTTTCATTAGACGAAATTTTTTTACGGGCTACAGGAAGTCAGACTTAACTGAACCTTACTTCAGATCTTTAAAGCTTTATATCTCACTCAATTATTAAAATATCAACTTATTATTTTACAAACATATGTCTGAGACCCTACCCACACAGTACCGAAACTTTCCTAAAAATTTATTAAAGATTTACTTGCAAACATCGAAGAATTTACTTGTAAAGTTACATAGCTCAACATTTATTGAAATGGGACATTTAAATCTTTGCAGAATTTTCACTAAACTTCGCAAGTAAATATGTACTTCCAAGCTTGCAAGTAAATTTTTAGTAAATATTTAGGAAATTTTCGGTGTTGTGTGAGTAAACTTAGAAAAAATACAAGACAAGAAAAACCGATTTTTTTAAAATTACAACTAGGATTGCCCTTTTAATTATGGATGATTAATTTTATTCATAAATTTATGATAAAATGTATTTATAAAGAGATATTTCGTTAATGCAGATTTAGACTGTGAAATATTTTTATATTTCTTGCACAAAAAATATAATTATGCACAATTATGCGAGAATTCAAAAATTGTGTGATGAAAAAAAATTTTGCGTTTTGATGCGACGTTAAATTTGTTTTATTTTATTCATAAACATTATAATACGTAAATCTTTAAACTTTCTTTTAATTTTTAAAAATTATGCGATTATGCGCTTCGCACAAAGTGTAGGTCTCTAAGTATAATGTAATTATTGCGAAGAAATTTATAAAAAGTATGTAAATAATTGAATTTCTGTAAGATTTTTATTATTTTTGAAAATAATAATTTTATTAAAAATTTTGTAAATAATAGAATTTTGGAGAAGAATTTTATTATTTATAAATATAATTGAATTGTTTAGGAGAATTTTTTTAAAGTTTTGAACATAATTGAATTTCTACGAAGAATTTTATTACTTTTGAAAATAATTGAATTTCTTTGAAATTTTTAATATTTTTGTAAATAATAATTAAATGTTTGCGTAGAATTGAGGAAAGTTTTTGAAAATAATTAAAATTTTGAAAAGAATTTTAATAAAATTTTTGAAAATAATTGAATTTTGGAGAAGAATTTTATTATTTATAAAGATAATTGAATTTGTTTACGAGAATTTTTTTAAATTTTTGAACATAATTTAATTTCTACGAAGAATTTGATTACTTTTAAAAATAATTGAATTTCTGCAATCATTTACAACTTCTCCAAAATTCAATTTTTTAGTGTTTTTAACTAAAATTCTTCTATAAATCGATAATTTTTTAATAATTGATTAAATATATATGTGACCTGGTCTATGAAAAGGGACCTTACGTGTCAAAAAATCATTTTTTACTTTTTTGTTGATTCGGATAGAGTTTGAAACGCTCTTTAAGATGGTGAAAACCAAAAAATCATAAGTTGATTAGAAGTTTAAAAAAAAAAATTTTTAAGTTAAAAGAAACAAGAGTAAAAATACGAAAAAACTGATTTTCTGTTATTATACAAATTAAAATAACGAAGACGATAATTTTTTATTATTTAGAAAAGTTGACAGTTTCTTTGACAACTGTCAACAGTTAAAATTCAAATTTGATATCATATTCATAATCAGCGACCTCAAAAACCTTATTACTGTCTTTTTTACAAAAAACGATCACTTTTTAGAGAAGTTGACAGCTGTCAACTGTCAAATTGTTAATTTAACATCATATTCGTAATCAGCGGCCTCGAAAACCCTTACAAACATGTATCACTTATTTATACTTATTGTTGCAAGCTAGAAAACTTAGATTATTTTTTCTATGTTTGGGGAGTTTGTTATTAATTTATATAAAAAATTATTTTAAAAAAAATTTTTATTACTTCTATGTTATTTATTTAGATACTGTGATTCACGGTGAAGAAAATAAGCCTAAATTGATTAAAAAATATTAATATTTAAAAAAGTTACAAGGGTTTTTCTAAGTTAAACTTTAACTGCTGTTTTCTCGAAAACTTGTTTTCGCACGTAAGCTCCCTTTTCACTGTCCAGGTCACATATATATATTCAAAAATTTAACTAATTTCAGAAAAATTTGAATTATTAAAATTTTTCAAAAGTCTAAGTTCTTCAAAGTTTCTAATTAAATTAATTGAAAATAAAAATTTTCTCAAATTTCAAATTAAAACCTTTTGAAGTTGATATATTTATGATTATTGTAAACGAAACTCTTTTATAATTAAATTAATTTTGAAATATTTAAGTAAAATTATTCATTAAATAATTTCTAAGTAATAATTTTATGATAGTTCTTTAAGAATTAAGATATTTAAAAAGAAATTATTGTCAGAAATAGAAAAAATTGAAGGTTTTACACTGAAAAAAATGTATTTGATTCAAATAACCCAATTAAATATTTACTTGAATGAAATAATTTTTATTTGAGTCAATGAAATTGTATTTGAACCAGGGGCAGTTACCAAACATTTATGTTGAGTTCGTGTTGTGTTCTGAACACGAACACATTTCAATATTCTCGAGAAAAAAAACATATTTGCTCAAACACATGTAGTGAGTTCAATTTACTATTGAAATCTGTTTGTGTTCTGAACACAAACAAACACACACTTGATATTTGTGTTCATTTATGTTGGAAAGAATCCCTGATTTGAACCAATCCCGTGTAGAAATTGCCATGTTATATGGCCTACACAATGATCAAAAGATCTGGCCCCGATTTGGGCCATGGTTAAATTTCTACACGGGATAATTTCAGTATTTAAAGCAAATACCATTTAATTGACTCAAATAAAAATTATTTGATTCAAGTAAATATTTAATTGATAATAGTCAAGTAATCGGTTATTTGAATTCAATAAATGTTTTTTCAGCGTGTATATTAGAATTCGTGATAATTTAATATAGTTTATGAGGCAAACAAAAGAGACACCAAAATTCAGAATTTTCTTATAAATTCTAAAAATTAAATTTTTTCCAGTACTTTTAATAAAATTCCTTATGACTTTTCCCTGATTTCACCGACCAATTCTACTTTTTCTGACTTTTCCCTGAATTCCCTGACCTATGAATACAATTTTTATCAATCTAAAAAATGTAATATTTTATTAATTAATATTAATCTATGCTTTTTATGAAATAAATAAATAAATTGTAATGAATGTAATTTACCCATCAGGATAATGGATCTTCATTCACCGACTCCGATGTCTCTATCTTTGAGGCGTTTGCCATATTCTGTGGACTTGGTATTCACAATACACAAATGTATGAATCGGCCTGTAAACTAATGGCAAAACAAAAAGTCGCACTTGAATGTTTGAGTTATCATGCAACTGCCAACAATGACGATGCCTTAAAATTGATGTCAGACTCGATATCATCAGCAGAAACTTACAACTTGTACAGTTTTACATTCATTGACTTTGGACTTACCGATGACGATACATGTAGAGCAACCATCAGAATGTTTAAGCAATGCGATTTAATTCAAAAGTTTCATATTCCATACGATGTTCTTTGTCGCTGGATATTGAGCGTGAAGAAAAACTACAGGTACGGTTTTTTTACACATAAACCACATAAATAATAAACAACTAAAATGGCGTTCATAAAGGAAATGCGGGAAAATCCTACAATTTGCTTCCGATTATATCCGCGTGTCGCTGCAGTCATCGCTACACTGTAATCGAAAATTCAAAAAACGAAAACAAGTGTTTTTTTATTTTTATATTTATAAACAATAAGAATATAATATCAATAAATAACGGAATAATATTAACACTTATAATAAGTTCAATTATTTATTTAAGTTTGATTAATTTAATAATTATTTGAACAAAATGTCGATAATATCGATCCAATATCGAAAAGACAGTGTTGCCAACGTTGCCAACCAGAAAGCGCAAGTAACTTAACCTTTATTTTTTTGTAAACAAAAACAAAACGTTTTCTTCACAAAATTTACTTTTTCTCTTCTTTTTTCTTCCTTAATAAAAATTGATGAGACGTTTTTTACAGACCGGTGAAATATCACAACTGGAGGCACGCTTTAAATGTGGCGCAAACAATGTTTGCAATGTTGAAAACCGGCAAAATGGAGAAATTAATGATGGATTTGGAAATTTTGGGTTTACTGGTCGCATGTTTATGTCATGATTTAGATCATCGTGGGACAAATAATGCATTTCAAACAAAAACCGAATCGCCATTGGCAATTCTCTATTCGACAAGTACAATGGAACATCATCATTTTGATCAGTGTGTAATGATTCTTAATTCGGACAGTAACAATATTTTCCAAAATTTACCAATGGAAGATTATCGACAAGTAATGAGAGTCGTGGAAAATGCAATTTTATCAACAGATTTGGCAGCGTATTTTAAAAAGAAAAATCGCTTCATGGAATTAATTGATGAAGGTGAATTTGACTGGCAAAGCGAGGAGAAAAAAGAACGTAAGTAAATTATATAATTAGAGAAAGAGAATAATTTCTTTTTAAGTAAATTAAAGTCTGCGTAAAATCCTTAAAAATGTAAATAAGCACAATTCATGGAATAAATCATTGTTATTAATATTCTTTTCTTTAAAATACCAAATACAGGCTTTGCACTTAATAATTTATTTTTAGAAAGTAGCAAAAAGTAGCTACATACTATCAAAAAATTAAATTTTCCAACTAAAAAACTTGTTTTAAGACGATTCACAAAATTCCCAAAAATTTCATTCTGTATTTACCTGACATTTTCCTGATTTCCATAAAAATTCCTGATAATAACTTGAATTCTAAATTCTTCTAAACTTTTAGTTAGAAGTTTTAGAATTCTTCGAAAATTCGATTATATTTCAAAATAATTTTTAAAAGATAAGAAAATTAATTTTTTTAAAACATAAATAAATAAACAAAATAATTCTTAATAAAAAGAAAGTAACTTTATTACAAATGGCTCTGCGATCGACAATCCTAAATGGTCAACAGGTGACTGAATGTAAATTCGTAATCGGCACGTAGACAAAAGAAGATTACAAAAAAGGGTGATTCATTCACCATCAAAACAAGGCTCATATTAAATTTGCTTATATCAAAACATTTTCGAAAAGACAAATTTTCTTTTTGATAACTTCTAAATTAAATTATTCAAATTTTCAAACTTTTGTTCAATAAGTAATATAAATATTTATTTTTCCGCAGGAATTCAAATTTGAAATAATTGTAATTCTAGCAACCGATTTTATTATTTATAAAAAATAATTTAATCCCTGCAACGGATTTTATTATTTATAAAAAATAATTTAATCCCTGCAACAGATTTTATTAATTATAAAAAATAATTTAATTCCTGGGAAAAATTTTATAATTTGTAAAAATAATTGAATTCTATTTTTTTACTTATTATGAAAATTAAATAGAATAATTCAATTACTTTAAATAACTTAATTAAAATTGTATTAAAAATAATTGACTTCGCCTTTTGTATTTGCGTGTTATCACGTTAATAGAATGTTTAACAATATGCGCCCGGATTTAGATTTTTTTTCTCTAACCAGTCTGCTTTTTTGAGCTGTTTAGTGCGATATACAGAGAATTTGTCATAATTCACTAACATCATTTTTTTATTTTCTGTTATATGATTTAACACCGCGGGGACATTGTAAATAAATAAATTAAATTGTTTTGAAGAATTTTGTGGAAATTTTTGGAAAATTATTTTTCAAAGAATTTCAATTTTTATTTCAAAGAATTGAATTAAAATTGTTATGAAAATAATAATTGAATTCTTTCGAAGAATTTTATTAAAATCTTATTTAAAATAATTGAATTCATCTAAAGAATTGTATTATTTATGAATATAATTGAATTTCTACGAAGAATTTATTAAAATTAAAAAAAAATGAATTCTTGCAAATTTTTTCGACGAATTTAATAAAAATTGCATTGAAAATAATTGAATTCTTAGTTAGAATTTTATTAAAATTTATTAAAAATAATTGACTTCTTTCAAGAAATTTTATTAAAATTGTATTAAAAATTATTAAATTTTTGCTTTTATTATATATGGAAATAAAAATTAAAAAAAAAAATAAAAAAAAAATAATAAAATATATAAATATATAAATAAATATAATAATAATAATAATAATAATATAATAAATCATTTATAATAATTTATAATAATAATTTAATAATAATAATTTATAATAATATAATATTATAAATATATAAATATATATATTTTAATAAAAAATCCATGAAATTTTCACTCAAAATTTTTGTTTGGTTATAATAATTTTTCTCGAATTCTATATGAAAAATAAGTAAATACCTGTTTTTTTATTTCTTTATTTGATAAAAATTACGGAAGTTATGATTTTTTTAAATTTAACGTCTTCAGAAGCAGAGGACTTTTGAAACGCTTTTTTCTCTGTGCGCGGAAAAAAATTAATCTCTAAATTAGAGATTAAATCTGAGATTTAGGCATAAACTATCACTGGAATCGGATGTAAGATGTTAGCAGATCACTAAAACTGAAATTTGGTATTATATCTAATCCGAATATTAGTATTGTGAAGAACACGTATTTCTTATGCCTAAAAATGATATTAGGAATCTCAAATTTTATGACATATGGAACATATGTTCTAAACTATCAACTTACTTGAATAAATTCAAATCTAATATATTATTTGAATAAACAATATTAAAAATTTTAGTCGTATATTTATATAATTCTTATTTTTGTAATAACTCGATGTAATAAGAATTTATAATTTATCACAATTTAGAGTGAGAATTATTCACAAAATATTTATATTGTTTTCCCTGTATGAACTATACATTGACAAGTATAAAAAAGTAGTTGGATATTTTTAAAACACAATACGAATTTTATATTTTTATTTCATTTTTTTGTTTTAACGGCGTTGGAAGGTCTGTAAAATTTGTAGGTTACAATTATCGCCGGACAAAATACGACACTGACTGATTTAAATGACGTGAAATAGGTAAATAAACATTTTTCAACCACTTTTTCTCTAAACACAGACACTTTTTACAAAATAGGCAACATACAACGAGTAGGAATCTTCTTAATTACCTAAATTCAAAAGATGGTTTAAATTCATGCAGAAACGCGGTTGTAAAATGTAAAATTGGAAAGTGATGTAGGGGAGAGTCTCCAGTTGTGAGACGGGTTTCATTTTTGACCCGTAAATTGTAAACCCTTAAACGAAATTGTAGATAAAATACACCGTTCGAAAGGTAACAGAAATACGCAACTTTTATTAAAAGAAAGTATAGTGTTTCGATGAACTCAAAAAATTTTACGATACATTTTCCGAGCTCATCGCTTTTTTCAACAAAAAAAAATGTCTCCAGTTGTGAGACACTCATTAAAAATTGCTAAAATTTAATAAGTTTGACCTAAAACGTTATGTTTAGTAGAAATAATTAAATATATTAATAATATATATTATTATATACTAAATAATAATATTTACTCGCCAAAATATGACTATCAAATAATCACAATTAAATAGCGTCAAAAAGAGCATTAAAATTGATTTCTTCTGAATCAATTGACTTTTTTACACTTGACATGCCCAAAAATACTAGAAAAAAAATCAAAACAACATTTAAATAGTATGCCTGCAAAGTCGTATTTTTTATGCTGCCCAGATTGGTGTTGACACCGTCTCACAACTGGTGATATGCTGTGTCTCACACCCAGAAATTGGCGCTATTTTGAAAAAGGAAAATTAAATTATTTTCAACCGTAGATTGGAACAATGCAATATTGCATCACAAAATATAAGGAAAACACTAAAAGAAAATGCATTACATTTACCTTTTCCAATTAATTAACTTGGAAAAAAAGTACTTTGCAGTTATTGAAAAAACGCTTTTTAGTCGATTATCACACACAGTGTTGGTATTTAACAAAAACAGTTTATATATCCGCTTCGGCGTACACGAAAAAGTTGGCTCACATAAAAAGAAATGTTTTTATATAAACCAATCGGCTTTTTTAATATTGCATGTTAAAAAAAATTAACTGTCTCACAACTGGAGGTGTCTCACAACTGGAGACTCTCCCCTAATGCTAAGAATATAACAGCTGGACCATTGTGCTCTCTGCATGCTTCTGCCCTCTTCTGGCGACTGGCAGTAATCCGCTTCTTGTTGTCTGTCATTACATTACTTTCCAATCATTTCCAATTTTACATTTTACAACCGCTTGACAACCGCGTTTCTGCATGAATTTAAACCATCTTTTGAATTTAGGTAATTAAGAAGATTCCTACTCGTTGTATGTTGGCCTATTTTGTAAAAAGTGTCTGTGTTTAGAGAAAAAGTGGTTGAAAAATGTTTATTTACCTATTTCACGTCATTTAAATCAGTCAGTGCCGTATTTTGTCGGGCGACAATTGTAACCTTAAAATTTCACAGACCTTCCTTCACAGACCTTCGCTTTTATTTGGATATTTGAAAATAAAATTAATACTTAATTAATTAAAATGGTTTAAATCTTTTTTGTCACTGATTAACTTAAAACACAATGTACCTAATTCATATAAAAAAAGTTGTGAAATTAACAAATCTCTAAATCAGAGATGTGAATTTATGGCGTTTTCTGGTATAAAGTTTGACAGAATCAAACACAACTTATCACAGTAATTGTGACTATAATGTTTAATTTAGATACACTTATATTTCATTGGACTTCAAATTAATATTATTTCAAGTTTAGAGATTAATTTTTTTCCGTGTGGTGTTCTATTGAGTTTAAATAATATTTAAAATTACACAGCCACACAAAATAAAAAAAGTGTCGGGGTTGGAAGATCAGAGTACCCTATCCCCATGTATTTTGGCCGCTGAATACGAATCCGGTGTCCGTTTTGGTCCAGCACGTGTACGTTTTTTCCTAACCTCAAATAACATGTCAAAATTTTTTAAAAATTGATGGATTTTTATAAAACTTGGTAGCTAGGTGTTTTTGAGGTTGCTGATTACGAATATGAAGTTAGATTTTCAAAATTCAAAATGTCGGATCCAAAATGGCGGATGAAATATTTAGAAATTAATGATTTTTTAGAAATTTTCGTAAAAGTTGATGGATTTTGATAAAACTTTGGTACCTAGGGGTTTTTGAGGTCTCTGATTACGAATATGAAGTCAGATTTTCAAAATTCAAAATGGCGATTTTCGCTACAATTATGAGATTGTATGTCAATCTCAGGTTGTCTGGTCACCCTGACCAGACGCCGATACTGCGGTTCCGAGCCGCTGCATCGTAATACGTTTTCTACGTGGTTCTTCCATGACGGCATCAAAGCCATTATCCAGGGACTTAGCCGGATAGCGGACAATCTCCTTTGCCCACCGTCACCGCGTGGAGGTGCCCTGGATGCAGACACTGGTAGTCTGGTAAGGTATAATAAAATACGACTGCCAGTTGAATCTTGAAAACCCCACTTCAGATTCGCTATCAGCAACCCGAGTAGCTACCAGATACCAAGATTCATAAAAATGCAACAGATTTTCAAATTCTCATCATCCAATTTGATTTTCAAAAAGCTGACTTCATATTCGTAATCAGCTACCTCAGAAATCCCTAGATAACATGTTTCACCGAAATCCATCAATTTTTAAAAAAATTCGTCCGCCATTTTGAATCAGCCATTTTAAATTTTGAAAATTCGAATTCATATTTGTAATCAGAGACCTCAAAAACCCCTAGGTACCAAGTTTTATCAAAAACCATCAACTTTTAAGAATATTTCTAAAAAATCATCAATTTCTAAATAATTTCATCTGCCATTTGGGGTCCGCCATTTTGAATTTTGAAAATCTAACTTCATATTCGCAATCAGCAACCTCAAAAACCCCTAGCTACCAAGTTTTATCAAAATCCATCAGTTTTTAAAAAAATTTGTATACCACAAAAAATTTGACATGTTTTTTGAGGTTAGGAAAAAACGTACACGTGCTGGACCAAAACGGACACCGGATTCGTGTTCAGCGGCCCAAAATACATAGGGATAGGGTACTCTGATCTTCCAACCCCGACACTTTTTTATTTTGTGTGGCTGTGTTATGTCAGTAGTTGCACTAAATTTCCCTGACTTTACTGCCAAAAAATTTTTTTCCTGACATTTCCCTGACTTTCCTGACATGTGGCCACCCTGATTGTAATTGAAGGTAAATTTTTAGAAAAGTGTAAAATTCGAATGGAACTCTGTACAACCACTGAAAATATTTTAAATATCATTTCAACCCTAAAGAACACCACTTTGACATAAGTGGGAAAAATTGCTTTATTTATCAGTGATTGTTATAAAAGAAAAAAATCGATTACTTCGGTTTTGAGAAAAACACTTTTTAGACGAAATTCCAATATATTTCATGTTTTGACTTTATTAATGTTATTTTTTATTACATATTTGAAATATTCAAGAAAAAACAAATAATTTTTATATATTATATTATTTTTTATCTTTTGGTATAACAGCGAAAAAAACGTTTCAAGAATCCTCTGCTTCTGAAGACGTTAAATTTAAAAAAATCATAACTTTCGTAATTTTTATCAAATAAAGAAATAAAAAATCAGGTATTTACTTATTTTTCGTATAGAATTCGAGAAACATTGTTATAACAAAAAAAAAAAAATTTGGAGTGAAAATCTCACGGAGAATGCCCCATATGAAAATAATTCAATTTCTATAAACAAATTTAGAAAATAATTAATTTCTTTCAAAGAATTTTATTATAGTATATTAAGCAACAAGGGTATAAAGGCAGCCATTTGTTTACGGTGATTTTTGTGACACGAGTGGAGGTCTCGGGGCGCCTACGGCGCCCTCGACCTCCACTCGTGTCACAAAAATCACCGTAAACAAATGGCTGCCTTTATTCTCGTGTTACTTACGATATTTTTTATTCCTAATGCACAAAAGTGGCGATTTCAGATAGCAGACGACAGGGAGAAAAAGTCATTCACTTGTTCGACTTATATGAAAATGGCGGCCTATTTTCTCCCTTGGGCAAAAATAACGCATGGGATCAGCGGTTATGTTTGCACAAGGGAGAAAATGGACGCCATTTTCATATGGTCGAACAAATGAGTGACTTTACTCCCTGTCGTCAGCTATCTAAAAGCGCCATTTTTGTGCATGTGGGATAAAAAAATATTTAAATAATTAATTTCATTGGAAAAAATTCCTTTAAAATTGTATTTCACATAATTGAATTTCTGTGAAAATTTTATTATTCATATTATTTGAATTTTATTAAATTTTTTATAAATAATTGAATTCTTTTGAGAAATTTCATTAAAATATGTATATAAATTTGCATATCTAAATAAATAAATAAAATAATAGATAATGAAAATATTTAAATTTCAGAGAAGAATTTCATTATTATTTATGAAAATAATTGAATTCTTGCAAAAGATTTTCGAAAAATTTTTGAAAATAATTGAATTGTGTCAAAGAATTTTATAAAAATTTTCCTAATTGTTTCTAAAAAGAATTTTTAAAAAATGTTCAATAATAATTTCTTTACTCCAACCATTAGCAAATTTGAAGTAGTGAAAATTCTCAAAAGTAGGAAAAATTTGCTTTTAATGTCAGAAATTTAAGAAAGTATCCAAATAGTAGCTAATCGTAAAAAAAGTAGTAAATAGTAGGTTTTAGTAAATGAGTGCGAAAAGCCTGCAAATATATAAATTAATATTAACCCTCAGGGTACTGACTATAAAAATGTAACGTTCCGTACTGACATGGGTTAGCGTAACCCAGCAACTTTGATCGCCTGTATCTTGGGCTGTAATTGATGAATTTAAACTCTTTTTTTTGTAATCTGTTTACAATTTCCACAGGAATATGCCGGATTTGTCGGATTAGTGACATTTTTTTATTTATAAAAGTTATTGTCAAAAATACAAATGGTTTTCAAAAAATTTTCATGAAAAAAAATATTTTTTTCAAAAGCTCGTATTTTTATGAAAAAAAAGATAAAATCATTTTATATAGGTGTTTTGGAAAGGTGAAAAGTTGATCTTTAAGATAGCGTTAGCCGTTTTTTAATTAATCTTAAAAAGTATATTTTTTTTTAGATTTGAAAATGCTCTATTTTTGACATGTAAAAAAAAGTCAAACGATAAATTCATTAAAAATATCGCGAAAATTTACAAACCCAAATTCAACAAATTTACAAAATCCTTCCGCTTTACACTTTATGAACTTTTAAATGTAATTTATGAATAATTTTCGATTAATTTAATGAGATTTTACAATTCACAAAAACATGGATTTTATAACATAGCGTACTGACTGGGTGTAATTCACCCGAATACAAATTTCAATAATTCGCAGCTTGAACAGCAAGTGCCGACCGGCTCTGCCAAATCAGCTACTTTCGGTTCTAATCTCAAAGTTTTCCCCCCCCCCCCGGTCCGAGCCGCCTCCATCGATTTGTTTAGAAATGGCGCAACTTTCAAAATTCGCCTGGGTTACGCTAACCCAGTCAGTACCCTGAGGGTTAATATTAATTTTTAGTTACGAATATTTTGTATAAAGAAATAAAAATTTATTTTCCATTTAGAGAATAGAGTAAATTGTTGCATTTTATTTGACAGTTTTGTGTGGAATGATGATGACAGCTTGCGATGTGAGTGCTATCGCAAAACCCTGGGAAGTTCAGCACAAAGTAGCGAAATTGGTGGCTGATGAATTCTTCGATCAGGGAGATTTGGAAAAATTACAATTAAATCAACAACCAGTGGCGATGATGGACCGCGAAAGAAGAGACGAACTACCACAAATGCAGGTATTCACATTTTTTAAAATTATTCTTTATTTCTAATTAATGAAAATTCTCAAAGAAGGTTAATTTATTCGATTGACGGAATATTTTTTCCTTTATTCAACAGGTGGGCTTCATTGAGGCAATTTGTCTCCCATTGTATCGAGTTTTATCCGAAACTTTCCCCTGGATAAAGCCACTTTACGAGGGGACATTGGAAAATCGAAAAAATTGGCAGGATCTCGCCGAGAAAGTTGAAATGGGTTTGACTTGGATTGATCGTGACACAATTGAAAAACCAGTCGAGGAGTTTGTTTCCTCAGAGCCAAAGGATATTGAATTTACCGTAACGACATTAAATTGTGCGCACACCGAGAAAAAGGATGGATTCAATGATAATATCTCGGATGCGACAAAATCCTCGGCTTTAGGACGTTTCGCGTCGTTGCGAAAAGGTGGAAGAACATTGAGTAAAGGTGTGAGAAGTCGACTCAGTCGATCATTATATTCGAGGAGTAATTCCGAGGACGGTGGCAAAAGTAAGGATCTACTTCCCGAAAGGAAGAATAGAAATAAATTGTGTCTATTAATTTGACGGCTAACATCGTCGACCTTGGAAAGTATTCCCGAGTGATCGGCGATTTCTTTTTCCTTGTTAAGCCGTCAAACAGTGTCAATTGTCCGTCTCGCGATTTCAAATTACAATTTCATTATCTTCCCCACTCAAGGGACTTATGGTCGATCACTTTTTTTTGGAGGCCTTAAAGCGTGAATTTCTGGCAGAACTTGAAAAAATCAGAATGTTGTCCAGATTTCAATTTTCAAATTTTTATTTTGGAAAATCGATAGAAAGAAGAAAATACAAATTGAATTTCATATCCGATCCAGGGTAAGAAGCTCAAAAGGACTAAAAAAATCAAGAGTGCACTTGGAGATGTGAAGTACCTGTGAAAATCTAACTCTCAAATTCAATTTTAAGAGAAATTTATATACATTATAGGAATTTTTAAATCGCTAGTAATTTAAATAATAAAAAAAAAAAAATCAAAGATAATTATTAAAAAATGCCTATTTTTGTCAAAACAAAAAAGAGTTGGATTTCCGGGTGCATTATATAATTCCAGAAAGCAGTAAATTAAAAAAGGGAAAAGAAACACAAAGTGTAGAAACATTAGTAAATGGCTAGGCTATTAGACTGTGAAATTAATAAAACGTCACCTCTCGTAACATTGCTCACGATAGTTTCGAAGTTGGCGAGATGAAAGTTTAAAAACAAACAAAAATTTGCAAAAAGATAGAAAAAAGCTGTTATACGTCGCAAAAGGAAAAATAAAGTAGCACGATCAAGTTTCATCGCGATTAGATAAGTTAAATTTTTGACAATCTTTTTGTATAATTTGAATATATCTCAAAAAGAAAAAAAAATCTAGAAGAGAGTGAATCGTTAAAAAATTAGTGACAAGCTCTTTTTAGACTAAGCGGTAGTGAGTAAGTCTGATTTTAATTATTGATATTATATAGCGAAAAACGTACTTTTTCACCACTACCTGTTAAAAAAATGAATGATATATAAAAACTTATTTATTTGTACGATATGCAGAGTGTGAAACAAATTCGTAGATAAATGAGATACAAAAAAATATTTGTGTTACCTTCTCCATTAAAAAAAATTGAGAATTATTCATTGTTATTCATTCATAAAAAAAAGGAGAGAAATAAGATCATAAAAAAAGATGTTTATATTCAGTGTTCATTAAATGGAAAAATAATTATTGCATTTTTACTTCATAAATGCTCCCTTAAAAAAAGTACATAAAAAAATGAAATAACATTTAACATGAAAATAAGATTTTAAAAAGCAATTTTATCTAAAAATAGTGTCGAGAATGGTATATTTGCGATGTGAAATGCAATTACATTGTTATCACAGCAATGTTAAGAATAAAACGTTTTTCAAACTCAAATTTTCCATATGTCCTTTTTTTCTCCAAGAAAAAAAATTGTGAAAATCAAATTTGTATATTCGAATGACAAATCAAAATAAACTACATTAAAGTTTAATCATTTTGAAAACATTTTTTTCAGTGTTAATTAATTATTATTTATTAAAAATAATTATTAATAAATACAATTAATAATTCAAATAATTGTTCCGTGTTTTTATTAATTATGATTTTTATAATAAAGGGACTTACAAAAAATACCCTTTCGTTAAATATCAAATTTTTTAAACATTCGAAAAAAATTAACTAAAATGTTAAAAATTAAATACAAAATTAAATAAAATTGAATTAGTTAAAAAATATTAAAGTAAAATTAAATAAAGTATTAATTTTAAAAAGATATAAGTTTTAATGATCAAACTTTAATTATTAGTTACATTATGTAATTAATGTTATGTGAGAAATATTTCTTTTTCATATTTGACATTTTTAATAATCTCTTTCTGTTTCCATTTTTTACGAGATTTTAATTTTTGTGCATAAAAATGCAATTTATAAAGGTGGTCTCTGCATAGTTTTTTCTACATTATATACTCCTTATAAATTAAGGTACTACTACACTTTAGAAGGCTCTTAAAAGACCAAATTAAAAAAAAAAAATTTCTTAGGTCTTTTATTATAAATATTCAAAAAACTTTTTTGTCTATATATTAGTACATATTTGGAGAATAAAAATAATGGTTTGTTTTTCATTTTTATTTAATATCATAATCTGCAGACAGCATTCAGATCGAAACTCCAAAAAGTTAGTTGTCCAATTGCGGACAGTTTATCTCAAGATTGACAAATCGGAAACAAAAAATCCAAATTGCTTTTTAAAAAGGAAGGTGTCTTGCATAGAAATCTACCACCAATAATGAAAAATCGACTAAAATAAAAAAATAGCAGCTGTTTCAATAATTTGTTTAAAAATACACTATGTTTTTCAGTATTTTTCTAGTCTGCAAAAATGTTTTTTTTTAATTTTTTGACCATTTTCTGGTAAATTGTCACACAGGACATGCTAACAAACAAAACGAGTTATCATTTATTAAAATCGGTTCAGTAGATTCAGAGAGAAACTGTCCGCAATTTGAGAAAACGTTATTTTGAGAAAAACGCGTTTAAACTTATATGTATCGTTAGAGGCCATCCATAAATTACCTAAAATTCTTTTGCAAATTGAAACCCCACCATTTTTTTTATTTCAGACACTGTTACATACATTAGCACCAAAGTTTCTACTGCGGTCGTAACAAAAAGCTGGACCCCACCATCCCCTTAAAGACTTACTTAATTTGTCAATGACTCTTTACATTAATTGAATATTTTTTGAAAAATTTACTTTTATTTTTTACAATTGGTTATAAATACTTTAGGAGGTGTTTTTTGAAGTCATAAGGAGTTAAAAAATACAATAAAAAAAAAATAAAATTTTTTTTAAATTCTAAAGTTTAGTAGTACCTTAAAAACAATATTATTACACAATAGAAAATTTAATTAAAATTTTGTTCAACTTTAAAGACACTGAATTTCATTATAAAAATTAAATTAAAATTCATAATTAAAAAATTTTAATTAAACTTTTGGTTGTAATATTATGAATTGAAAATGAATACAAAAGAAAAATACATGATTTTAAGGATTTTATTATTAAAAACATTTAGAAATTACACTCGAACGATGTTACCGCTTAGAATAATGAATTCTCCCTTAGTTGGTCCTACTGTTAAGTTAAGTATAACAACTCGCATCGCTTTTAGGTTTTTCTTTTATTATAATTATATAATAATTACTTTTTTTAATTAATAAACTCATGAACCCATTGGTAATTCTTTCTATTTACATACATCACACAATCTGGTTGTTTACACAATTAAGGCGAGTCCGCGTGATATTGTGACTTACGAGCAAATATCGTACGCACAAAATTTGAATTTAAAAGAAAAAGAGATCAAAATGACATCCCCTCACCCTCTTAATAAAACATTCGTTCTTAGTATTCGATTTTTTTCAGTCCACGTACGCATTTACATGAAAAAAAAAGAAAAATAATTCGTACGTCGAGGCAGTGACGCTATTATTATTTTATTTTGGCAAGACTAAGAAGAGTCTCATTATCACGCCAACTACCTCAGTTTTTTTGTTTGTTTTTTTTCTTATTCATTAAAAATAATCATCACATCATCAGGAGGGGGTGAGCGATGATTTTATCTATTTATAAGATCAACAAAACAGTTTAAATATTGGAGTGTGCAACAATATCATTTTGTTCGAGAAAAATATTTATCGTAACTTTTAAATATTATAATATACTTAGAAAATAAATTAACTAAAAAACTGCTGCTTTGCATTCAGTCAATTTTGTTCTCTAGAAATTAATTCAGTTTTTAGATTTGTTTACGTTTTTTTCTTTCTAAATCGATTTGAATCAAAATCTCGAGAACTTGTTTCTTTAGGAGATGTTTCAGCTTTTTTTGTTGTTTAGTACAAATACTAAATGCATAAATCTTAAATGTATCTTTGCTCAAAAAGAAGGTACATTGGATTATAAAAAATTAAAATTGATACACACTGATCGCGGAAAATTGGAAAAATTTTCTTTTCACATAAATGCTTGGTCCACTGCCATCACTATTTTTTTCTTATCATGAAATATTAACAATTGTAATAAAAAATAATTTATAATCAACAATATTACTATAAAAATAATTAACAATAATCATGGTACATATTCAATTATTTCTTTCCAACTTTTTTAAGAATCATCAGTTTTAATTTTTAAATTTGAAATATCTTTTGAACCGTATTCGTTAGTAAAGCATAAAAATAACAATAATTTCTCATTTTTCAATTTATTCGTTAAAATAAGAAAAAATTATTTTTTAACATTTTTTTCTCTTTTTATCTCTGGTACGATACGAATCATTCAGATCTGTAAACTTCTTCCAAGATTTAAATATCAACGAATAAATTAAAAAATAATTGTCAAAATACTCAAAATTAGATTTCTCTGGGTATTTACAATTTTTTTCGTTGAAAATAGGCAAGAAAACAGTCGGAATTTTCAGCGATCAGTGAAAGTAAGTAAATCGGTACACAATAATGTGTTTTTAAATACATAAGTTTTACACCTTTTTTAAAAAATAAAAATAAACCTCTAAATTGCAAAACCCTTAAAAAAATTAAATAAATTCTTTCGCTCATTTTGCGGATTTATAGCCTTTCTTCCTGACTAAAACTAGATTTTCCAAACATTTTTTTTTCCTTTTTGCACTTTTTTTCTTTTTAAATTGAAACAGCCAATCCACCATATTCTTAAAGCAAATCTCACTCTCGTGAAAAACGCTGCTAAAAAAAATCACTTTTCAAGTCTTAGACACACGAGCGATTGCTATCCACAATCTTAACAATCTTGGACAGAAAAAATAAAATTGTCGTGACACCGTACAATACATAGAGAACAATGGAAGATACGATGCGGAAGGATATACTTAAATACTCGTGAAGCTCGGAACGTTTTTCAGTTTAGACGCTTTTTTCTCTATAAAAAAAAAAAAAAATAAAAAAAATTGAAAAACGTCGGTAGCAGTCTAAAAAAAATAAATCAATGGTACTTGTCAGTCTTTGGAAACACTTTGCACGATTTATCGTATTTTTTTTCTAATATATAAAAATATTCTAGATACAATTCCTGGACAAAATTATTCTTTCTCTGAGTAAATCTACTAGACAGAATTTTAAAAAACAAAAAACATTCCGAAATTTTGCGAAATGAATAGACTTGAACTTTTGAAATAATTAACCTTTAAACTACTATGCCGGTTTGACAGGCCGCTACAAAAATTTACTTTGCTTGTTCATTTTTTTCAAAGTATAATAAGAACTTGAGCTTTTCAGTAGCTTCATATTTTATAAAAATCTGTTAGGTGACAACTTTTCCAAAAATTTTTATTCGTTAAATTTTGTATTGTAGGTAACATATATAAAAATAAAAAAAATTGAATCAAAATAATATAGAAATGACTTTTTTTATGTTAAAAAGTAAAAAATATTTACAATAGTTGTCTTTAGAAAATGATAAATTACTAAAAAACTGTACAAAAGGGAAAAGCGGTCTAACAGACCGGGAGTAGCACTGAGTGTGATTTTTCAGCACGTAGCAGTTTAAAAGTTAATAAAAAACAAATTCTCTTAAGAAAATTGAAGAAAAATTGAGTAAATTTTCAAATAAAAAAATCTTACGAAAAAATCTCAAAAGATGCGGTTTCTTTAAAAGGACTAGAAAAATAGTCCGGAAAAATAGATAGAAAAAAAACTTGGTAAAAATTCTAGGAAAGTTATTATATAATGGAAAATTGACAAAATAAAATAAATATTAAAGAATGAAAAATAACAATTATATTAAGGGAGAACAAAATAAAAATGAATATCGTGCAAAGTCTCTATAGGAACGACAAGTGTTCATAATCACAATATTTCAACTATTCTCATGGATAGAGAATGAATTCCATTTCTTTTTTCCATTCCTTTCTTTCTTCTTTTTTTTCATTATAAATTCTGTCAAAACGACAGAAAAATCTTAATGTGTTTATATATATATATATATATATATATATATATTTTTTTTTGTGGGTCACATGAAAAATTCAGTGGATCGGCTGACATGCAGTCACGACGCGGGCCTGTCTAAGATTGAAATCTCTATTAATCTAAGTCCACGTGTCGTTGGATCTGTCAATAATAGACCTCGTGGCCTATAAACACGATCATTTTGTTCACTCACAAATTTCGCTATTTTTCTTAAGCACTTCTCGTAATGTGTCTCGGTGCATATGTAAATTAAATAACCGGTGAGGCATGCGAGGCAACTCTCGCAATATGTTGAACAACTGGCTCGTTCGGCTTCTACAAAATAATTATTTAATTGCTTGATCGTATACTCGAACGCCTGTCTGTCTATCTACAAATAGAAAGACAAAAAAAGAATTTAGAATTTCTATTATTTCGCTTAATATTGAATTCTAAAAGAAACACTTACTCTATCTTCTAGATCCGGTGGAAATCGTGTTTGAAATTTGACCATTGTTCCTTCGCTGTAATCTCGCTGGATAAATACCTTTTGACAATTTTGTGGAGGCCCTCCACCAGCTTGGCCTCTTCCACTTGACATGTCTTCCAGTGGCGTCAAAGCTGAATGATTTTCCTGCAATCAAAATTTATAATATTCAATCCAAATCAAATCAACCAAATCAACATAAAACGAAAAAACTAGCAAATAAAGCAGGGCTCGGATCGTCTTTAAAACTCAAAAAAGTCACGAAAAGTCGCATAAAATTTCCGAAAAAGTCGGAAAAAGTCGCATGAAATCTTAGAAAAAACGACAAAAAGAAAACACGAAATTGTCAAAATTGTAAAAAAATCACATTTCTCGACAACAGATACATTAATATCAAACAATCCGGAATAAAATTAAAAAAAATTAATTAAAACTCATAGTAAAATTTTAATTAGGTATTTTTAACATTTTTTTAAAAATTCTCTTTAAAATGTCAATTATTTTTATAAATAATAAAATTCTTCTCCGAAATTCATTTATTTAAAAAAAATTTTAATAAAATTCTTCTTTGAAAATCAATTATTTTCAAAAGTATCTAACAAAATTCTTCGCAGAAATTCAATTATATTCCAAATTTTTTTTAAATCTTTCGTCAAAATTTTATAAATAATAAAATTCATCATAAAAATTTAATTATTTTCAAAAGTTCTGATAAAATTCTTTGCAAAATTCAATTATCTTCAAAAGTACGAAAATTCTTTACAGAAATTCAATTATATTCAAAATTTTTTTTTAAATTCTCAAAATTTCAATTATCTTTGTAAATATCAAAATTCTTCTGCAAAATTCAATTACTTTTAAAAAAAATCTGTTCAAAATTTTAATTATCTTTGTGAATAATAAAATTCTTGTCAAAATTTCAATTAGGGGAGACCGGGGCGTAATGGCTAAGGGGCGTAATGGATAATTGTAATTTATTTAAAAACCGTAAATCGTAATAATTTCGCTCGATAGACAAGTTATTGTACTTGGTATACTGCAAGTTTGTCGGAAGTTTCATTAATATTTATTCACTATTGTAACAAATATAGTAGAAAAACTATTTTTGACATAAGAAAGTAACTTCTACAAATGAAATTTCAACGATCGAATCAGAAACAATTGAAACAACATCGCCTATAACACCAGCGAAAATTAAACCTCTTCCAAAGGCTCAACAAAGGAAAACTACTAGAAGTTCCAGAAAACGTCGCTCTACTACTATTTTGACTGACTCTCCGGTTAGGAAAGCATTAAGAGAGGAGCAAGCAAGTAAACAAGAAAATGTCAAAACAAAAAATCTTATCAAAAATAAGAAAGTTAAAAAACCTAATTACCAAAAAAAAACCAAATGTGACAAAAAAGCCGAAGCACTCAAAAAAAAATTTAAGTGATGACTCTAATGACTGTAAATGCATATATTGTTTAGAATTATTTAAAAACAGCGTTTCAGGAGAAGAGTGGGTTCAATGCACATCGTGTCAGCTTTGGGCCCACGAAGCTTGCGCTGACGATAACCGATTTTTCATTTGCGATTATTGTAAAAGCAAATAATTTTATTGGTTTACTAGAGACAAGAAAATTATTTCAAAAATTCCCGTTTAATTGTTATCATTTTATGAATTAAAATAAATTTACTATAAAGTTACTTACTTTTGTTGAAGATTACTAAGAAAGTTAAACTTCTGATTTGTAATTTTGTTATATTAATTTTATTAAATAACCAAAAATACGTTTTTTCATTTGTGGTTACTGTAAAAGCAAATAATTTTGCTTGTTTACTAGAGACAAGAAAAGTATTTCAAAAATTCTTATTTAATTGTTATCATTGTATGAATTAAAATAAATTTACTATAAAGTTACTTACTTTTATTAAAAATTACTGAGAAAGTGAAACTTCTGATTTGTAATTTTGTAATATTAATTTTAATAAATAACTGAAGAATACGTATTTAGAAAATAATTGTAGTTATATTTTTTGGATCTTATTTTCTATGCAATAAATATATTTATAATATTAAATTTAATGCACAAACCTTAATTTACAATTTATAATAAGATTTGAAACTGTAAATAATAATTTTCACTCATTATTCATTACGCCCCGGGAGTTATCCATTATGCCCCGGTCTGGGGCGTTTTGGAGAGCTCTGCATTGCTCCAGAAAAACTGTTGTAGAATAAAAAGTAAGAGTCATATTGGGACGTTTGAAGATTTAAAAGAAAGCTGAGATACTAGAGTAATTTTTCTGGGTGATAAGAAATTAATTAAACCAAAAATGTCCGAGTAAAACAACAAAGAGTGAAAAGTTAGCCATTACGCCCCGGTCTCCCCTATCTTTATAAATAATAAAATTCATCCTAGAAATTCAATTATTTTACCAGGTTGAAGTCCACAACGTTTATCAACGAAAAAAGTTTTCCAATAAGTGGTAATTAATAGAAAAAAAAGGAAAAAGCAACAATACTGTCACAAAAATTTATTAAAAAGGTAGTTTTATTACTTCCTCATAGAGGAAGTATTGTAATACCAAAATTTTTCGAGTTCGATTTTTCGACATATCTTTATGTTATTTGACCTCAGGAGTTCAAAAATGACATTTTTAAAAAATGTCGTTTCGTATGTGTGTGTGTAAACATCACATTTTCATAAATATCTCAAAATCATGAAGAGCTTTTGGGTTGAATTTTTTTTAAATTGTAGATCTCACCTGCGGACATAAAGTGAGAATACTTTCTGTGGGATCGGGGGACACAATGATGCAAGTAAATTATTAGAAAAAGAGTATTATTTATTGTGAAATAATGTAAATGAAATTATAAACTGTTTACACGACTGTTTGCATAATGTCCGACGCGCTTTACACTCCTCAGAGAACTAACTCCTTTTTCTTTTCTACTCCGCGCACTATCGTAGCCCGACATCTACATAATCTTTTTTGAACGAAAATTATAAAAGGAGGGAATAAATTTAAATGTTTATCTTTGGGTTCTCACACTCGGCCATCCTGCAATAGCTACGACCTCGTTGCTATCAATCGGAGTCACTATTTTCACTTTCAGAGCCAAAATTAAAATCGGCTCTTTGATTTGAAGGCCACTGCTTCATATGATCTGCTGCGGTACTCGTCCTAAAAGGTCCTTCATGATCACCAATCCTCTCCACCACATAGCGATCATTTCTTAGCAAAGTGACGACTTTATACGGACCCAAAAACTTTGGTCGTAGTTTAAGACCAGGTCCACCCTGAGTTTTCTGTATCGCCACCAAGTCTCCAACTTTGTATATTTTTGCCACTTTTCGTTTCCGAGACGAAGAAGCTCGGTTTTCTTCCTGAATTTTAGCGATGTTTTTTATCGCCTCGTCCCGAAGTTCACATCGTTCTTGTTGAAAAGCCAGAACTACTTCCTCTTCAATCATTCTGCAAATTTCTAAGTCGGGTTTGAGTTTCATTTTGGTTCCAATCATTAATTCTACTGGACCCATTCCAATGCTTCGGAAAAAAGTAGAATTTAAATGTTGCTGTAATGTATCAACGTACTTGAACCATTCAGTGGGATTCTCTATTGACAACTTCGAGAGAATCGGGATAATAATGCGATTAATCCTTTCGACTTGTCCGTTGCCACGAGGGATTCCCGTGGTTATGAGTACTTGATCTATTTTTTCTTCCCTGCAGTATTCTCGAAAGGCGTTTGAAGTGAAGGCTGTTCCTCGATCCGATATTATTCGCCTTGGGTTTCCAAACGTTGCAGCCTGTTTCCTAAGTCGCTCGATTACCTCTTCTGTCGTTGTAGATTTAGTAAGATAGATCCATGAGAACTTCGTAAAAGAATCAGTAACCACAAATAGGTGATTATACTTTTTCCTTGTCGATGGTATGGGACCTAAGTGGTCCACATGATACGTGTCCAAGGGTTTGGTCCCTTTGTGGATTGGATGTAAAATCCCTTCGGCTTTTCCGGATTTCTTTTCCACTAAGATACACTTAACACAGTTGTCTATAATTCTTTGGATCTTGGTTCTCATTCCAGGGAACCAGAATTCTCGTCGAATCTGATATTCGGTTTTCTTAACGCCGAAATGTCCATTTTCATGAGCCTGCTTGATCACTTCATATTGCATACTTTGAGGTATGACAAGTAATATGTTTCCATCTTTTTCCTTGTATAAAATATCGTGTCTCATGGAAAATGTGTCTTCTTTACCTGTTTTAATTGATTGTACAATTCTTTGAACTTCTTGGTCGTCTTCTTGAGCTGCCTTGATCTGCGCAACTAAACCATCCTTCTCTTCTTGAAGAAGGAAGATTGTAGGAGGGTTCCTGCTTAAGGCATCTACATGCCGCATCGAAGTCCCTGGACGATGCTCGATGACATATTGAAATTCTTCTATGAGAAGTGCCCACCTCGCAACTCGCAGACAAGTTTCCTTTTTACTCATTGTCTGAACAAACGCTCGACAATCAGTAACGATTTTTATAGGAATTCCCAGTAAGTAGATTCGAAATTTCTTAAGAGCTTTAATCACCACTAAGATTTCAAGCTCATAACTTGTGTACTTTTCCTCCTGAGGTGATGTTTTCCAGCTGGCATAATATACTGGATGCATTAAACCATTTTCTTGATCCTTTTGGAGTAATATAGCACCCAAACCAATCTGAGATGCATCTGTATGTAATTCTGTGACTGCACCCACTTTGTACAACTTTAACACTGGGTCCCGAGATAAAGACATCTTTAATTCATTAAAAGTACGTTCCTGCTCTGAACCAAATTCGAACTTCACACCGTCTTTTAATAATTGAGTGAGTGGTCTGGCTATAGTCGCATAATTTGGAATAAACTTTCTAAAATAACTTGTTAAGCCGATGAAACTGTGCACTTCCTTAGTCGTCCTTGGCTTTGGAAAGAATTTTACTGCTTCGGCTTTGGCTTCTGATGGTCTGACGGTTCCTGCCTCTACTATGTAGCCTAAATATTCGACTTTTCTTACCAAAAGTTTACACTTTTCCCAATTGATTCTTAATCCATATCTACTCGCAACTGACAAGACTTCTTCCAATCTTTCTAAATTTTCCTCTTCAGATTTTGCCGGAATGATGATAT